TGCAATCCTTCTTGAAAACATTTCTTTTGAAATAACCTCTCTACCCCTAAAGGCAGTAGGGTGTGCTTACATCCTACCCTCCCCAAACACACCTCGTGTGATTACACCGGGTATGTTGTTGTTGTGTTCACTAACATCACTGTGCTTTTTGGTAGGTTTGGATCGGCAGTCAGGAAATGCAACAAAAAGACCAGATGCAAAATGCTGGATGGACATGCCATTCTGTTGGTTCCTATAAGTATGTTTGGCTTAAATTTTAAAGGACGACTACATGGTCAGATAAAAAAATTGCCCAACCATGTAAAAAAATCCTAACTGTTTGAGAGAAGAGATTCTAGATGAAAATGCCACTTCCTTTGCTGTTCATTTTGTTTATTTGCACACAAACACTAGCAATTAGTTGTCATTTGCATTTGGTGTTCTATGATATATGGCGGCTCGTTCGAACTCTGCCATTGTTGATGACTACAACATAATAAATTGATAGGACCTCTATTTTCTTGTTTGACATAACTTTCTCCTTTAATAGGAAAAAGCCAATGACAGCTGCTGCCTTTTCTGGAGATGGTTCTGTTCTGGCTGTAGCTGCAGAAAAAGTTATTACATTGTGGGATCCGGAGAGGAATATTCTTGTAGCTACAGTTGGGGAGAGTCTTGAGGTAAGTTCTTGGCATGCCAGTAGTAATTTTACACTATTGACCTATCAAAAAATAACAATTTCACACTTCCGAGTTCAAATTTAAATTGCTTGCCTTGGGGAAAGAAAGTTTTTTACCTAGTATTTGAAACCTTTTTACTAAAGTGTTCTTTATGACTCACTTCTGAGTTACTGTCTGGTAACTTCATTGGACGACAAAGAAGTTAGCTCTGAGGGTTATCCTTTTTGTTAAACAAAAAACGGAAATATGAGCCCATGAAACAACCGAAAACAAATCTTGAAAATCTTAATTTGCAGTTTTGATGCTTTCCTTGTGGCACTTTATACACCTTTATCATTCTTTCTGTCTCTATACAATATTTTTCTCATTTGAACTGTTTTCTTTGTGCAGCCAATCTCTTCCTTAGCATTTATTGGGAAGTCAGAGTATGTTGTAACCACATCGCAAGGTTCTAAGGCTCAAGTATCAGTGTGGAGCATGTCAAAGCTGTCTGTATCATGGTCTTACAAACTTAAGATAGAAGGTTTGTATATCGCTTGTTTATCATACTTCGCCCCAATAAACTTTAAACAACTGTAAACCACTTGCTTTTGGCAGCTTATGATAATTCTCTAATCCTTATCATTTATTTCTAACGTTCTGCTTCTAGTTACTGAGAAAAAATGGATTAATATCGACGCAATTGTATGTCAGATACTGAAATTTGTTATTTAAGTGCAACTTGATCATTATAGTGCTAAATTCTCTATGTTCGGTGTTTTTAATGTCATGAAGCGTGTGCTTCACTTTTGCTTAAAGCCCCATGGATGCTTTTGTTTTTTGTGATTTTCTTCAAAACACTGGCATCGGAAGTGAATTGCCAACCATATTTCTCCATTTTTGAAGTTCTCATAATTTTTGCTTCCGAAAGTACGAGCTTGGCTCTTGAATTTGAATTATTAGGTGTTGTTTGCAAATGGAAGTATGCAATCTTGCTAAAAAGTTAACTGAAGCAAAGGGCTGGTGGATGTATTGATTTATTAGTTCTGTAGTCAGGCCAATGATAGATTATGCATTGTGATAGTCTTTTTATACCATGAATCTCACTGCCCTTGTTATCAGAGTTGCATGGCTTGGAGTACAACTAGTAAGCTAATTCTCTTTTCAAGCCAAACTCAGGACAGGTCTTTTGGGGAAATCTTAAGCTATCTTGCTTGTGCTAACAGTCCAATTTTGCTGCATTGGGTTTCCTATTAAAAAAGAATTGCTGCTTTGGAATAGGAAAGCAGGAAATGACTTGAGGAGATTCAGATTCTAAAATAAGTTTTCCTAAATTTGCACGTATATGTATAATCTAACTAAAAGGTCTGAATAAGTCTAGCAGATTAATGGTGAACTTGTAGGAAGATGTGTCATACATTACTGTAAAATCTTTGTTAATGTTTCATCCTAACTAGTATCTTTATTAATCACTGCAGCTGTAACTTGTGCGATGGATGACTCCTTGTTTGCCATCCTGGCCCTTCTCCCAAAGCCAGTTGGACCTGTGATGTCTAATGAAGCCACAACTCTGGATGGCGATGGAGTGATCTTATTATTCAGGGCCGCAGATCATGTTCCCGTAGGGACCTGGTTTGTAAGAAAGGTATTGACTCCTGTCTCAAATTTTGAGTTCTTGTTTCTTTCCGAAGTTTTTAGTTGGGAACTTGATGTCAGTTATAATGGGGAATCGAATCACCTTGCACTCGTTTAGAGGTGGTAAGATCTTGATCTTATGGAGGCTGTTGAGAAAATAATTACATTCACCCTGACCTAGGTTTTGTCTGTCTTCATTCCCTTGGTTTTCCTGCACCCTGGGTACAGATGTTTTCTGACGCCCTTCTAATTTCCTGTTACCTTAACCCTTCTGACAGTTTCTTGTGCCTTTCTAATTTAATTCATATATTGGGAGAGGTATCACATCTTCTAAGGTGGAAACTCTATTTATAGATGGGACGAGAACTGGACATCTTTACCTTTTTTGCATCTCATCCTTTTTCTTTACAGGCAAAAGGTGCTTCACTTGCTTTCATTCGCGGAAGTCCTAAGTCAGAGGATGGTGTTACTGATGGCAGATCAGTGCAGTTGCTATTAGCTTACCTCAGCGTTGATCATGAATATATGCTTTTTGATCCACTCGACAGCCACACCCATATACATAAGATAAGCCGAGGAAATCTTGCTGATCTTGAGGAAACAGGTGTGTCCCGTCTTCTCTGCCTAAGTTCATCCGACACAAAGCTTTTATGTATTTCAGTTTCTGGTGTCTATTAATCTGGGGATGTACATGGGCCTTTTTTGGTTTGTTTTATGTGATAGGTTGCTTCAGAATACTTTGAATTGGATCAATATACCAAAGTACTTGAAATAAACCTTGTTTTTAAAAACTTTATAATGGGTGCTACAAGCCTTAAAATAACGAGCCCAGAGGCACAAAGATGTATGGTTGCTGAACGATGTGTTGTGATAAGAAGAAGTCAACAACTACAACTCATAACTAAGTTGGATCAGCTATATATTAATCCTCATTTCATCATTTAAACTCATATCCTATCATCATCTTAACAAATAAAATACGACATGTTCTGTGATAACCTTACGAGAGAAAGGAAATGGGTTTGATGTATTTGTTCTCCTCTGCCTACAAGGTCCTTGGTTCTTCATGGCATGATTGTCAGATCAAGCACATATTCTTGAAAATCTTTACCAAAATCTGTGGATTAACGATATTTAAGAGGAAACAACCTTTATCTCTCGAACATATACTCGTTGGAGAAATCAGATGATGCATTATTTATAGCTTTAACAGGGAGGTGGGGTG